GAGATTGCACAGTTTGTCCATAGGACAGAAATCTTTCAGCTGGAGCAGAATCTTCCAGAATAAAGGTTTGGAAGGCACTGGAAAGGGTGGGGGATGTTTCTAGTTCTGATGATTTAGGATGGAGCCCCAGAATGGAATATTAAGCAGGCAATGTCTGTAGTTTGATGTAGGTTTGATTCAGGGCCACATTATCATTTTCATGAGCCTAAAACTCTCTTGCCTTTATGGACCTCTCCACTGTAATATTATCAATATTAAAACTTACATTTCTTTATGACTTTAAATGGTTCCCCCATTTTTGGGGGGTTTTTAGACAAAACCAAAAGTTTTGGGTGTCCCACAAATTTCACTTTTTTTCCTGACATGAGAAAAAAATCAAAACATTTCTTTTGACCATGCAATTTTTAATTTGTCTCTTCCGATTTTAAAATAAATTAACACGTTTCCTGAGCCCCTAAAAGGTTTGTGGACCATAGGCACTGCGCCTGTTGAACCTAACAGATAAGTCAGCCTGACTGCAAGGTAGAGGAGAAAGCTTTAGCTCACAGGGCTGGGTGCTGGGTACCTGCTGCAGATGCAAGAGAAGCTGGGGTGAGCTTTGCTCCATGGGAGCTGTATCTCCCATCCCAGAACAGAGCAGAGCTGACTGATGGAGACATTCGACAGAAGTGTTTCCAGTTGACCAACACCTAAGTTTGATAACTGCGTCTCTGCCTTTCTTCTAAGTGATACAACTTGAAGCAGTGAACGAGAGTCAGGAGTCCTGTCTTGATTCTATTTAGCTGCGTGTCCTTGGGTGAGTCCCCCTCCTGAGCATTCCGAAGTTTGCAAAATGAAGGAGTTGGACTAAACATTGATTCTCTAGCTACAATTTATGCCCTATATGCTTCTGAAATATTATCAGAAAAAATCACAGAGAGATAGATGAAAGCACGTATACAGTGAGGCAGGTATACTTAGATGAGGACCCAGAAATAAGTTATTTACTGCAATACTCTATTAAATTTAGCTCTGAATTTGCTGGCAGCTGAAAAATATAGAATTCTTACCACCTAACTGAAGGAAGAATAGTGCTTCTTTAGATATTTATTTGGCATTACATTTGAGGAGGTCATGGAGAAGATATGACCACTAGTTGACCCCTGAGTGAGCCCCAGGGCAATCGGAAACTTCTCCCCCCTCTTCTGCCCTTGAAACATACATGCCACCCACTATTCCCACGGTGGGAGCCACTTGAAGGACACAGCCTAGAGAGAGAGAAAGAGAGAGAGAGAGTAAGGTGTTGCTGAGACCATTTTGACCTTATATGTGACTGAATCCAGGTATGTCCTGTGTATAAACTTTTAAGATTCTGGCGGGCACGTGCAGAGATGTGCTTGTCTTGAGGTGCCCAAGACAAATTCACATGTAAGTTGTCTTGCTTGTTAAACCTGCCACCTACCAATTTGGATTGGTCTGTTCTTTGGTCTCTCCTTGCCCTCCGTGTTGGGGGTGGGGGGCAGTTTCAGATTATACCAGAGTTTGCAAATCAACATATTTATTAAACATTTTATTTCTTATTGCAAAAGCAGCACTAACACAATTAAAAAAAACTTTTTTTAAAAGGCAAAAATTCAGTTTCAATCCAACTACCTCAATAAATCTAAATATTTTCCTTGTGCTCTTTACCGATGTAAAAATTATTCAAATCCTCCTATCTAGAGAAAGTCTTTGTTTTTTGCTTTTGCTTTTTTTTTTTTTCCACCTAGGAAGATACATCCGTTACTTCCCTACTGCAGCAGTGCTTATGCAAGTTATTTTAAATGTCTGCATGGTATCAATTGGACAGTCTTAGCAATTCCTTGGCTGTTAGGTGTTTAGTTGATTTCTGATTTTTCATTACCTCCCAGAATAAGCAATTAATATTGCACTCTTTTTCTCCTTTAGAGTGTCCTGGAATGAGATTAGGTCAAAAAGTATGGACTTATTCTTTTCTAAGCCTTGACCTTGCTTTCCTTAGAAATTGTGCTACTTGAGTACTAAATGCTAGCATTTCAGATTCCATGAAGTGTTAGAGAATAATGATCTTTTAAAATTAATGGCTCTGGATGGGTCTGTTACAAGGCATGCTTTATCCATGTAAAACAGTGGAAACATTTGAATTTGTCTAGATTTGTTTTCAGTATTAATATGCTTTTCGTGTTTCAATGTATACTATTCAGGCAGAGGTAGGAGAACACATCTATTGAACCAGGGAGAAACATTGGCTGGGCAGAGGGTGATGAGGAATGGAGCTGGCCGCTTCGATGCTTGGCACTGCTCTCACACTGGGGAGATTGTTGAAGAAGTCACATTCATTGTCCTTACAAAGATGTCCCTGTGACTACAGCAGAGCTGGAATCATCCCGGAGTAAGGCAGCCGGGCTCCATTTTCAACGATTCATGGCTGTAAGAATTTAACTGGAGCTGAGTTTCCTTCTTTCCTGGATCTCAAACAGCTTGGTCTCAAAGTGCTCTGATTCTCTTCCCCGAGTGTTTCCAGAGAAGACAGCCTGAGGGAGAGGAAGTGGTGCTAATTAAGTCCTCCCTCTGTTTTCCAGGCATGGGAGCCTTCTGCAGATGCCTGTTGTGAGGCGTGTGTTCCCAGAGTGTGGCAAATACAGAAGCAGGCTTTCCTTCCCCAAAGGCACAAACCTTCCTTAACAGGTTACAGGGAACTCTAGAAACACACTTCCTTCCAACAGCCACTGTGATTGAGGCGACAGACCTGCCAGGGAGGCCAAAGTGCTTCACCGATTGTTCTCTCTGTCTCTGTCTCTCTGTCTCTGTCTCTCTCTCTCTCTCTCACACATACACACACAAAACGCACACATACACACATACAGGTGCACATGCACACAAAATTTCTCCTGCTTCTGCGGGTGCGCCTTGTATTTCTTAACAGGCCAATCTCTGCCTTTTACGCATCTAACTTAAAAAAATTACTGAAGACTCAGCAAAGCCTTCCTGCTGCAACACAGCGTGCCTCATGATGGGCGTGCTGGATTGACAGGAAGCATGGTTGGGAGCCCGGGGTGAGCATCCAGGTGCTGCCACAGTGATCTGAGTGTGCCCTGGGTGGGTCCCCTAAATGCTGTGATCCCCAGAGAGATGCAGGTAAAATCATCTTCTAGGGTTGTTGGGAGGATCAGATGGGTACTGCGGAGGGCTGGAGGGCTTTTCACTGGTGAGCCCCCCTAACCAGCTGTGTTTTCTCCTGCATTCAAATCCCTCAGGGTGACTGTGTATGTCCACCTTTGCCTGAGATAATCCCGGTTTACTCCTCTCATTCTGACATAATTGTTAATCGTATGTTTTTCATGCTCCAAAGTGTCCAGCTTTAGGCAATAGGTTATATGCTCAGACTATTTTTACCTCTTTTGAATACTCTAATTCCAATGTTAAGAATGTACACTTGCTGGGGTTGGGGCTGTTTCTCATTGTCTAGTGTTTCACAAGAATCGAGGGAATGGAATTTATCTGATTAGGAGCACTGAGGCAGCTCTGAGGATAAGATAGTGTTCCCAGACACGGTGAAGCCAGGCACAAAACCCACCTTCTATGTAGCATGGACAGTGTACTTACTGCAGGTCTGACTATCTGGTCTCAGCTTGGAAATGGTGACCTGATGTATGCATGCTTTTTACTAGGCTAGCGTGTGCTTTCTATTTATTTTGTTTAATTCTGCTGTATATTTACAGGATAGAAATGTTTATCGTGTTTTTACTTAAGTCATATATAATCATTGTAAGCATCCAGAGACTTATGAAAACAAAAAATTAAAATCACCTCATCCAGAAATAACCATTAATATTCTATTTTATTTCCTTTTTTTAGTTTTTGATGTAGTGTTCAATGATTCTTTAGTTAAGTATAACACCCAGTGCTCATTACAGCATGTGCCCTCCTCAATACCCATCACCCTGTTATCCCTTCTCCCACACTCCGCCCCTCTGAAACCCTCAGATTGTTTCCTGTGGTCCATAATCTCTCATGGTTCATCTCCCTCTCTGATTTCTTTTTAAACGTTTTCTAGCCCTGTCACACAATACATGTATATACATATTCAACTCCCAGTTTCCTTCTTTCTTTTTTTCTTTTTGAATTTGAATTATTTTAACCCATTTGAATATAATAAGTCATAATTATTCATAATCTTTTTCCATTAACAATATATTTTGGACAGATTTCCATGATAAAAATATGCACTTATATTTTTAATGACTACAGTATATTTCACTTTGTGATATAACATATTTAGCCAGTTCCCTCCTGACCACTTCTTAGTTTTACTATGTTCTTTTTGTGTTAGATACAATGTTGTATGAGTGTCTAATGTGGCTGTTTTATACAATGTTTTGCTATTAGAAATAAAGTTGTGTATTTTTCTGTTATTAGACACATGTGATGAACTACTTCTATATTGATATTTTTGGGCATTTGTCTAAATTATTTCCTTACAATAAAATTTTAGAATTGTTGTTTTTTGAGTCAAAATATATTCAGTTCTAAGTGCTTTTGTCCCCTATTACTACCCAAGCAGCATTCAAGAAGGTGCATTATCATTCCATTTACCTGTTAAATAAGTTGGCAGGCTGGTGGGTTTTTAAGCAAAAATTCTATGAAATTGTGAAGATCAGTTGCTTGGTAATTATTTCATACTGCCATCTCCATACTCCACTTCCTGTCTTCTGGGATTCAAGGTGGGAAAATGGACCTACTTACAACCCCCTTTTGTCTGTCTAGAGGGTCTCTGCTTCGCTCCCCTGGTAAATGGCCCAACAGGGTGGTGGAGTCTGTGTTATTGAACTGCATTCATTAAGGCCTTTGTTTAGTTAACGTGTGAGTACCTTTGTCAGTTTCAGGAACATCATTTGCACCCTGTCGACTTTTTGCCCTGGCCAGGACAGAGGTGACTTCTTTTCCCTTTTTTTTTTCTCCTAATGAAAAGATTGTTTCTTCTCTTGTTTTAGGTAGAAGAAATGTCAATGATTAGGAGTTTTGAAGGATTCCAGCCTGTGTCTCTGAAGCAAGAGGGAGATTACCAACCCTCTGAGACTGACCAGCTGTCCACGGAGGAGGAGGACCCAGGCACGGACCCAGAGCCAAGGCAGATTTCAAGGCAGCCAAGTGCGACCGAATCAACACTGTACCCCAATCCTTATCACGGACCTTTTGTCTCACGGAAGTACTTTGCTACACGGGTAAAGTTTTTGGTGCTCTGAAGTACTGTACAAGACTGTTCTTACAATATTCTAATATTACCAAGTATTTTCACATTTGTTATCTCATGTAATAGTCATAATAACTGTGAAGTAGTTATCTTTCTCCGCATTTTACAGGTGAAGGAGCTGAATTTCAGAGAAGTTAAGGGTCTATTTTTGATAACCAGGTAGTATTGAGGAGAAGCTGGTTATCCAGTCTCTGTGGACCTTTGGCTCCTCGGTCCTGTGTTCATGTTAAACCTGATCTCCACAGATTAATGATCTATGGAGAGAAAACCCAAGCAGCTAGAATATAAAGTTGTGTGCCCAGAGTGGTTATCTGTTGCATGTTTGAAAAAGACATGGGTGATGGAGTAGAAAGGCTTGCTGAGAATGGATTGAACCTCAGGGTCTACACTGGGATGCTGGTGTTACATGTGGGAGCAGGCACTTCGAAATCCCAAACCTTTGGCTGCTGTCTGCAGCTGAGCTCTTTTCCCTGAGCATTTGGAGCTGAGGAAGTAAATGGATGGATGGGTAATGAGGATGGGGTTTGTATATCTAGATATAAAAAATGATGTGGTGCTGGGTGGCTCAGTCGGTTGAGTATCCGACTCTTGATTTTGGCTCAGGTCATGATCTTGGGGGTTGTGGGATTGAAACCCATGTCAGGCTCTGCACTGTACTGGGTGTGGAGCCTGCTTGAGATTCTCTCTCTCCCTCTCCCTCTCCCCCTTCCCCTGCTCGCTCACTCTCTCTTAAAAAAAAAAAAAAAGGTATTTTGAACTTCTAGCATCTGGATCAAGTGGAGAGTGCTTCCTGGGTTTGAGTACTTTTCTCTTTCTCTCGAACTCTCCTTCCTACTTATCAATGTTCTTTCCCAATCCTTCAATGTTCTTGTTTACACAGTAATTGCTGGCTCACAGGCTGTAATCAGTCGGTGGCAAAACTGGGAATTGTACAGTGTGACAAAGGAAACAATCTCATTTTTGAAGCGTAGATGGGACACATCTTGAAAAAAGGTTTTTTTTCAACTCAATCTTATAAATAAATGGTGGCTAAGATGTTGTGACAATTTACAAAGCTTTAACTAATGAATCCTGATTTGGTAGCTTTTAAAACATCTTTGGTTAAGATAAAAATGCAGCTATTGTGACTCAGTGTGTGTGTGTGCATGTATGTGTGTGTGCACGCGTGTGCGTGTGCATGTTTGAAGATAAGATATACCCGTATCATCTGTATTTAGCCACTCGTATGTGTTAAGGTGCTTTGGTAGGTGCTCTGCTATGTGCGTGTTTGTGTGAGTGTCTTTGCCTAGGCAGAGCATATAGTTTGTTTTCTAAAGTATGTGAACGTTATTGAATAAGCAAAATTAAGTTGTAAGATACATCTGTGAAGGAAATCAAAGCATCCCCTAAAGTTGTCTCATCTTTGGTAATGATGATGTATCAGTCACAGTTTGATGAGATAACAACCATGAGTGGTATGGAATAAGAGATTCGGCATGCTCAGAAGCTGGTGCAGTCATGAGGGCTGGCTGGGGAGTCTGCAAAGCTGTTGTCTTTGCATTTGGTGATGGGCCTGAAGCTGCCCCACGCCATCAAGTGAAGCAGCCCTGAATATGAGCTGCCGCAGTCACCGTGGGCCTGCACTGATCTTCCGCAGGGAAATGACCGATGTGTCACTTCTGCCTTGCCAGCCTGACACTAATGTCTCTTGTGGCCAACTCTAACTGGGAAACAGACAGGAAAGGAAGTTCTAGGAAAATGTAGTTTTAGCTTAGCTAAATCGACACAGTTTGAAGCTACCATGGAGCTTTTCTTTCTTTCTTTGTTTGAATGATGCTTTTATTTGTGTGGCTCTATGTAACTTATCAAGTGAAGGTCCCTGGAGCAACACTGTAAGGTAGGCAGGGGAGGACTTACCGCTCTTGTTTCATTGTAAACATAGTACAGCTTCAGGGGAGTGAAGTGACCTGACCAAGTCATGCAATATTAGTGGAATAGCTATAGCTGGAATCTGTATCTCCGGTCTGTAAGTCCAGAGCTCTTCCCACCTCATGTACAACTGCACGTATGGCCCCTTTCTAAGTCAGTCAATGACTGACTCCAGTCCATGTGAAGAATATCTTCTCCCTCGGGTGTATAGAAACAAGCCCTAAGTTCTCAAGATGTTGGGAGGGAAAGCTTCTAACGTTAATGAGTTTAAAGTAGACTTGAGGACTCTTTAGGAGCTGTGAGGGCTACATTCCCAAAGCACTCAGCATTTGTTCTCCTTCAAACCACATAATATATATTCTGTGAGCATGTGAGTATAATGAATGTGCTTTATATGTATGTTTATATTTTTATCTATATCTATAAATTTCCTCATTTGCAGTGTGTGGATAAAATACCAGTTTTATACAGAGGTTTAAATAGCCTGATTTTGTAAATATTCTTAGTACAGTGCATGACATGTCTATTAACATTTCATAAGCAGCATCTCATTGCTATTATGAATGCTTTCTCCCTTTCTTGTTGATTTGACATTCCCATTTCTGTATTTGGTCGTAGGGAATGACATTAAGATGCCTGTGACCTCACCATGACTTCCAGAAGGAGATATAAATGTAGATGTATAGTGTCTATAGCAGTAAAGAGGTTTGAGTTAAGGAAACTAATTCATTTCCCAGGGAATAATTCAACAAGACCCCGGCTCTGAATGATTCAGATCTATGAAAGATTCATCATAAAGTATCATTTCTTAGAGCTGAAACGAGATCGACAGATGATCTGGTCCACTGGTTCTCCATTTTATCATGCAAACAAATGACCTGCAAATCTTGTGAAAATGCTGGTCTGATTCAGTAGGCCTAGAGGAAGGTCTTAGATTCTGCATTTATATAGATCCTCTGGCAATAAGATGCGATCTGTCCATAGACCACACCTTGAGCACCAACGAGCTAGTCAACACTCTCATTTTCAGAAGTAACTAAGGCCCAGAGAGGGGTTGTTGCTTGTCCAGTGTCATAACCATTAATAAGCACCAACTTGCCCGAGACGCTAGGAGTAAGTGCTTAAGCTAGGGTTAGAACCCAAGTTTTCCAATTCCCAATTCATAGTTCTATGATTTAGATCCCATGAAGCAATTAAAAAGAAATAAGTTTATTACAGTGCAAGAATTTAAAGCATATAGGTTGTAAATTCAGAAGAACAGTAAGTAAATGAGTTGAGGAATTCCTTGATCAAGCATTTTATTAAATGTTTTAAAATCATTTCACAAAAGGTGGCTTATTGGAAAAAGAAAAAAGAAAAATGTCAATAAGCAAAATAAAAGTCACCATAATCTCCCTGCCCAACATTAACCAAAGTATATTGAATGTGTGCTTATACATTTTGGTGTATATCCTGTCTTATTTATTTCCTCACGTGTACAATTGGTTGCATAAAAATATTTCCTGTGTCAATAACTATACTTCCATAAAATCATTTTTCACAATTCAATAACATTCCACTATAGAGATATGCTACAATTTATTTAACTTTTGATGCACATGTAAGTTGTTTCCTACTCATATCTTTTAACCCAGAAAGGAAAGTTACTCTTTGGCTTGCTGTGGTAGAATGGCACTGAGTTTCTTAGGCTCCAGGAGTAGATGCCCAATGCTATAATAAGAAGATCAATTATATGGGTTTCAAACTGGATATGCAAAGATGTGACTGCTCTGGAAGTTTAAATTAATTCAGGACAAACAAGAGGCTCAATCTCACAACCCTGAAATCATGACCTGAGCCGAAATCAAGAGTCGGACGCTTAGCCTACTAAGCCACTCAGGTGCCCCCAAGAGTCATTTTTTAGCATTAAAACCTCATGCATTAGATCATACCAGATCATAAAAGAAGTCAATCTGGTTCCTTAAACCTCTTATGTTATTTCATGGGGCATCTGGGATGTTGCTTCCTATCCACAGGCTTCCAGACCATTATTTATTTTCTGAACTGTGCCCTTCCAACATAGCAATGTTCTTGCTCAGATCCAGAAGGGGCCTTAGAGGAATATTTAATCCAACCCCTGGAACACACAAAGGAGATGTGACTTGTCCAAAGTCAACTGGCAATTTAGGAGCCATGCCAAGACTAAGAGCCAGGACTCCTGACACTTTTTACCACCCCTCCAGAGCCTCTGACCTTGGACAATGAATGAGAGGTCATAGGAATGAATGTCTGAAGCACTTGCTATCACTCTGCTTGGATAATTTTTTCCTCCTGTTTTGTTCATTGCTATTTTATTGCTTAGACATATCTAAAAAAGGCCTAGTGCCTTTTCTGAACAAAAGTACCACTCAAGGCTAATAACTCGAGGTATATTATGATAATCCCTTTAGTTGTGGAGACTGATATTCAAAAGCAACTTCTTATGAAAGGAACAATACTTGATACGCATGGGGAAAGATATTTTTAAACTCCCTGTAGGACTCTATATTTGCAGATACCTTATCAGAAAGTTGAAAGCGATTAGGGATGGGGAATTATCTCTAAATTTATACTTGGGAATGTAAATTACATACAAACTAATGGGACTAAAACTATTTGATCTTTTAATATTTAATTAATGGTTCCCCATGGCCTTTTTATAGCCTGTGTTCTATTGTGAGGAACGAGACTTTAATAAGCAGGTTTGGGACTTCCCATTGTGTAGCAAGATGTCATTGCTTTCATGACACTAATTTGGCTTTCATACTCTCTCCCTTCCCCTCTTCTCTTACTATAGGGTTCCCTGTGTCTTGCTCTTTCATTGGGAGCAACTAAATATATTAGTTGTATTGTTATTGTCTGTGTGAGCTTCTTCCTGGTCTAGAAATTACATATCTCACTGGGCAAGAGATTTCTTGATTCCCCTCCTTACACTGAAATCCCTTGAAGATTGTAATAAAGTTGATGCTTCTTTCTGAGGGCAGGCAGTTAACGATAATAAAATAAGAAGCATTTCCTTTATTTTCAAAGAGAGATAAATTTGCCCTGGACTTTACAAATCACATCCAATTTAGAGCTGTTTTTCTGCCTGTATGTGTTTACCATGGAGTGATTTCTATCTGGGCATGATGACACCCACAAGAGAGATCTTATTGTGTCTGAGTCCCTGGGAGCATTCCTCTCTATGCTGCCCCCTCCTCTTACTGTCTGGCTAAGGAGTCCAGTACATGGAAAACTATTAGCAGCAGATGGGAGTATTATTTGTGTGACAACTGGCCCCTGGCTAGTCTAGCTTACAGAAATATAGGGAAACACACACACACGTCTTTGAAATTCCCTCAGTAGGTTTGTTTTGACTGAAGATATTCAGTGCTCAACTATTAGAAAAGATACTGCCTACTATGCTGTATAATGACTTGTAAATAAGAATCCCTCCTCATGATTTTTCTTCAAATTTAGCATTAGAAATATATATGTATTGGATGATGGGTACTTATTATTCCATCATACTTTCCTATTAGTCTTAGGTGGCAGGGAGTCTTCGAGCTAATTTTTCCCTTGCAGTGACCATTAGACCCCCAAATCCTGGTGCAACTATTTTCCCTCCATTTAATATTAACAAAAAGAATGAAAATACAGTGTTTTATTATTCAGTGTTCCCATATGCTTTTGGCATTTCCCAACAGCTCTGTTACAGTTAATATTATCTTATCCACTCAGCAAATGAGTAAACTGATGTCTGGAATGACAAGGACATAATACGGGTCTCACGGCAGGCAGAAAGGCTGAGATCTAAACCTTGCCCTAGACACAAGTCAGAGTGTTCACACACTATCTCGTTTTCTCCACTGAGTGGCTGAAGTTAATTTATTCCAGTTAACCCACAATGGCAAACAGAAGAGAGTAAAATATTCTATCAGGATACAGTGATTAACTGTTCCATAAAGGCACAACCACTGTTTCTGTGGAAGGTGAGAATACCACACTCAGTGAGGACATTGACAGTACTCTAGAGACCTCCCAACCATTTTATAAAAACCACACTGATGTTCAATGTTTAGGTTTTGAAAAGGTGTACAGTAAAACGTCACCTCCATCCACTGTCCCATCAAGTGCCTCCCCCCTCATAGGGGACCACTGTTAACATTTTCTAGGTATCCTTCTAGGGTTGCTTTAGCATATACAAGCACGTGCAAATATTTATTCTCATCCCTTCTCCTCTTTTTTATACAAAAATGTGGTATATTTACTTTTTCTTCTGAACATTTTTTCTTTCACTTAATAATACATTTTGAAATCTTTCCATATTAGCACGGATTTCCTAATTTTTTTGCATGTTCTTCATGTTCCATTGTATGGATGTATCCTCTATTGTATCTAACAAGTCCTCTATTGATCGATGTTTGCCTTGTTTCCAAAATTTTGCTATTCACAAATAAGGCTGCAAAGAACTCTGCATATACATCTGTCATTTTGCGCATATGCAAGAACATCCGTAGTATGATTTCACAGAAGTGGAATGTGTAGATCAAAGGATAGATCATTTTGATAGATTTTGTCAATTGCTTTCCATAGGGAAGACAAGTAAGGTTTTGAAAAATTCTAAAATTTTATATTCATCTTCACATGTTCTGGCAAAGTACCTAGTGTAAAACCATTCAACAAAGTGCTTATTTTGGGATTATTTCATTATTTTCCAGTTCCACTTACAGTTTTCTTTTGTTCTTCTGAAAAGTATTAGTTTCACTACTGAGCTATATTAGCTAGAGGAAGAAATTGTGTGGATATACGAAGAGAGACAGGAAAAATAGCCTGATGAGTCATCAAAGAAAGGCTGATTTTGAGCAGTGGACCTGGTGCAGTCTGGCTGTATCCCAGGGAGCTTGGGTTGGGAGATGGGAGCACTGTCATGGGATCATAGGGGATTTCTCTCCAGCATAGTTTGATCCTGCCAGTGGGGTCACTAGAACACTGATGTTGGCACAGCCTTCTCTGTCAGTGGGGGCTCAAGGCATACTTGATTTATGCTCCACAACTTACTGATTTAATGACTTACAGCTTCCAGCAGGCACAGGCTGCCATGTTAACTCTCTGACAACCCGTGAACCAGCAGCAGAGGATGACAAAGGAGTCAGAAATCATTCAGTCCACTGGCTGACTATTCAATTCAGCAGGAAATGTGTTAAAATGAGGTACTCAGAATGTCTCAGTATCAGGGCTGTGATCATATTTTCTTAAAGACTTCCAGGAGGCTTTCATCATCAGTTTGGCTCAGAAAGCTTTGGTTCAGTCTCCTCATTTGTCTTTATAGATAAGGAAATGGAGGCCAAGAAAACTCAGATCATTGGCTAGAGGTCACAGAATTGATTTACCACAGATCTGGAACAGGAACCCAGGTCACTCGACTCCGTTCGATGGACATTTCCTGGATGACTTGGGCTGTGCCCAGTGAATTGGAGGGGGAGGGGCAGAGCTAAGTAGGGAAAGCTCCGAACCATTTCCTACCACTTCATCTGAAGCAGTGCCATTCTTTTCCTGTTTTTCGTATATGGATTCTCCTATTCTAAGTTTTTTTTTCCTTGACCCATGGATTCTGTGGCCAAAATGTTTCAAAGTCTTTTATCGTAGACTGGGAAAGCAAGCAAATCCTAATCTACCACCCACTCCCCACCGCCCTACCTCCAAGAGGAAAAGGCATTTGGATGGATCCTAGGCCAGGCTAGTGTCCTGGTTTCCTTTTGTGAGAGAAGGGTCTCAGGCTGGGAGGATTAAGAATGTTAATATTTAGAGACGATTAGGTAGTTAGTATTAAAGCCCTGTTATATAGAGAATATTCAAGAACTAGCAACCTACTTGTCAGTAGCTCAGGGCTGGGAATGAGGCCAGCACTGCACTGTAGGTGGGGCAATGGAAAGTCTGTTTTCTTGTCTTGTCTCTACCACTTCTTAGCTGAGTGAATTTGACAAGTTACTTCCCCACACTGCTCCTGTTTCCACACCTATAAAACGAAATGGCTTAGACTAGATAATCCCTGGGCTGCAGTGGTTCTCAACCTTGGCTACACATTGGAGTCATCTGGGATGCGTTAAAAAATCCTGGTGTACTGATATGTGAGTCCCATCCACTGAGTATCTGGATATGATTGCCCTGGTGTGCAGCCTGGGCATTAGGATTTTTAAAAGCTCCCCTGGTGATTTTGATGTGTAGCCAAAATAACTGTCTAGAGAGCAATAGTTCTCATAAGACAGTCCCACACCAACAGCACCACCTGGGAACTTGTTGGAAATGCAAATTCTCAGGCCCACTCCAGATCCACTAAATCAGAAACTCTGGAAACAGTGCCCAGACATCTGTGTTTTTGATTCTGATGTGCACTGAAAGTTTAGGGATCACTGAGCTAGAGGTCTATGAATTTCTTATCAGGAAAAGGGTTAATCAAATTTTAAACTAGAGGTAGGCCCATAAGTAGGAGCACCTGTTTGGAGAAGGGTAAAGAATGCAAGATAAGGAGACAAAAAAGTTAATTGCCCAGAGTCAGCTAAAATTATGGTCAAAATATTAGAAGAAGATTTCTCTTAGGTGTTTTATTGCCATGTGCTCTTTAAAGAGAGAAAGGTTTGATTTTAAAAATGTATATATTGCTAAATGCTTTGAACTTTCTTATAAACTTGTTTATTCAGGAAAACTGGCCCTCTGAAAATGGCTGTCTTCATTTCCACGAGAAAGCATGAGTAAGATCATGGGAGACAGGACTTGGATCACTTTAGTCCCACCCAAGGAGAACAGCTTTGTAAATACCAGAGTTCAAGACTAAGCTCCCGGGCAGGCTGTGCCTAGAACAAACAGACAGATGCAAGAGCTATCTTTCCCATCAGCTTTCTGGAGGAGGCTGTGGGTTATACTCACTAATCATAAGCACAAAGAGGACTCGGTTTTCTCTAAACTAGGTATTTTCTTTTTTCCACTCAGCCGGGGGCCATTGAGACTGCCATAGAAGACTTGAAAGGCCACATAGCCAAGACGTCTGGAGAGACAATTCAAGGCTTCTGGCTCTTGACAGAGTGAGTAGTTATGGCTAAGTGAAGGCCAGTGGAAATCTAGCATTTTCCTTGATACCACTGTAACAGAATAGGAGGTAGACATGTGGAAGGATTTCTTCTGGATGCCAGGTAAGATCATTGATTGGCTTATCCCCCAGTTAGAGAGGAAAGTTTCGTGGTGCCCTTATGGCTGATGTATGACTAGGTTTGACTCCTAGCTAGTAGCTTCACTCAGCTATCATTCTGACTCCCGTAGGTCAGGCCCTCATCGTGGCTCTCAAGGACTATTGCACTGACCTCCTCACCCATTTCTTTGGTTCCAATCTGTCTCTTATAAGTACTCTCCTTCCAGCCACATCAGGCTACTAACCATCCCACTCAGGTGACAGTGGAAAAGAAGGTTAAAAAAATGAATGAGGTCAATGTATACAGTTTGAATTTTATCTTATGTATAATAACATGGGCCATGAAACCGGGAAATTCATGCAGGATAGAGAAGACAGGCCACCAGCCCAAAGTTAAGATAAAAACCAAGTCTAACACGTGAGTTCTTATTCCTTTAGTAAGTGCTCTATTCATCCCTGAGGCTTATCTTAGCTCTAAGGGCTTTAATTACAAATGACACCATGAAGATGGTTACCTTTGTGTCTTGCCCTGGTGTCTGTGACTTTTTCTTCACTTACCAGTAAACTATTAGGAATGCCATGTTCTTTACAGTGATAAAGTAATATATTCACATAATATATCCACATAATAATATATTCACATAGTAAGAGGAAGAGGCATCTCTTTTCTCCTACAGAATCTATAATATTAAATGGAGAATGTAGTTAGAACTCCATTTTGGATACTTAGTTGGTTCAGTAAGTTTTCTGGCCCCAAAGAGTCCAGCAGAAAAACTCAGTAATTCCTATACCTTGAGTAAAGAATCATTTAATCTTTCACCCCTCGGCAGAGCATCTTTAAGATTTTTTTCGGGGGGGGGATGCGGTGAAGATGGGCAACACTTGAATGTTCAACCTTCCAGGCCAGCAAAACAACTCCCTCAGTCAGTGGAATATAGAACCAGATCACCTGTGGGTCCATCTGACTGACCACCATATTACATTATTGTTTCAAATGAGTTCTAAGAATTGAGGAAAATGAGCTTGGAAAGCCAACCTGATCATTTCTAAGCATTTGTTTCTTCATGTATTGACTGGAGATAATGATATGCACCTGAGGAATTGTTACAAAGTCTAAATGAGATGGCCTGGTAAAATTCTTAGCGAAGTCCCCAGCCCATAGTGGATTTTCAACAGATGTCCGTGTCTCTCCTCTGTTCACAGGTTCTAACTATTGTTAAGGCCTTTTGCTTTTGTTTGTTTGGTTGCCTCTGCCTTTATTTCTGTCCTATCCATCTCTATCTCTTTAATCTCTGGGTGATCTCTAATGAAAAGGAAATTCTATAATTCAGTCTTTTTACTTATTCACTTTTACCAACGCACATTTCACACCCTACCTCCCATCTGCAAAGTAAAATTTGACTTGTACAAATAAAGTGTCTACCTTGATTAAGACAGGCATCTACTTGAATTCTGAGCATCTAATCAGAAGTAGACACTTACCTATTTTGTTTCCACAGTGCATTTCATTTATAAGAAAAAATGTACAAATGCAGTCTTTCAAAATCCAGGGGTGGCATTTTGAATTCTCAAATAATAGAATCAGCAATTTCTTTAATAGTACATGTTTTAATTGTCTTATTTGTATAGAAATTTGGCTTATTTTTGTTTGAATGTTTTTGTTCAGTGATTATAAAGGTCTATAGATATCATTTTCCAAAAATAAATGAGACTTTGTGATCTGCATTGAGACTTAGCACCATAATTCTGTCTGTTTGATTTAACATCAACTAGGATGATTAATAAAACTAGCAGTTTTCAGATAAATATGAATGGTTGTGCCACAAAGACCCAAGTTTTGCACCTAGCTGTGAACCTAATGGGAAACTCCAAAGAGTTAATAAGGACTATCTGGCAACTAGTTTTTTATTTCTCTTTTGCTTTGTGGTATTCATATATATTATGGACAATAATGAGGGCTGTATCCTGTTCACGTGGAATTTTAAGCAATCATTGTCATTTGCTGTCAGACTTTCTTCCTTTTGCAGTTTGGAACCATTTCTCTTCTTTATTGTATTTTTTTTAAGATTTTATTTATTTTTAGAGAGAGAGCATGATGGAGCAGAGGGGAGGGACGGAGGGGGAAGGAGAGGGAGAGGGAGAGAAAATCCAAAGCAGACTCCATGCTGAGCATGGAGACCAACATGGGGCTCAATCCCATGACTGCAAGATCATGACCTGAGCTGAAAAGAAACCAAGAGTCAGATGCTTAACCAACTGAGCCACCCAGGTGCCCCTCATTTCTCCTCTGTAAATGATAGTTCCTTTGTGTTCTCTTTGGTCTTCTTCTCTGCCAAAATCCTTTTACACATCTTCCCACTCATCAAAAGCTACTTTCAGGGGCACCTGGGTGGCTCAGTCGGTTAAGCGTCTGCTTTCGGCTCCGGTCTTGATCCCAGGGTCCTGGGATTGAGCCCTGCGTCCGGCTCCTTGCTCAATGGGGAGCCTGCTTCTTCCTCTCTCTCTGCCTGGGCCTCTTTGCTTACTTGTGATTTCTCTCTCTTTCTCTGTCAAATAAATAAATAAAATCTTAAAAAAAAAAGCTACTTTCAAGAAAGATTTGATTCCAGTCATTTCTACCATAGTAAGAATCTGCCCTTTGCTTTTCTTTGCCTGTGAAGTCCTAAAGCTGTCTTCTTGTAATGGAAAGAGCTGCCAGTTGTAACTAAGATGGTTCAGGCATCTGGGCTAAATGAATAGGCCCCCAGTCACTGTGACTGTTCAAGCAGAAGATGGGAGGCATTTGTCCAAGGAAGGGCATGCATAGAGGTTCTGAATGACCTTTCACACTTAAGTCTTGGTTTGTTTGTAGTGCACCAAAAATGTAGGGAAGGCAAAAACAACAATAAAAACAAACAAAAACCAAAACCCCCAAAATAACAACAGCAAAGCAAAACAAAACAAAAAAACTAAACAAACCTATAAATATACAGACAGGCCCAGAAAGGTGAGAGCCTGGGGCTACTCTTGTCTCCTCTTCTCTTTTTTTCTAATGGGATGAGACCCAGCTATTCAGTTCTTATGAGTTACAGAGACTGTACTATAGACCAGCTTCGCCAACTGCATCAACCACACAAGACGCTTTTCAAGTGTGACGCTTTTCAAGTGTAACGCTTTTGTGTTTAAGATAGAGATGACTGGGCTTTATGCACATCAATGGTTAGCTCCTTTTATGGAAATGAGAAACCCCCAGCTGCTATCCAGCAGTTTAAAGAATGTTTGCTTTCAAACAAGTATTTCAGTTTCAGAATGGTAAGAGTGAAAACCCCTCTAATGTATACAGCACATGACAAGCTAACTTCATGTCCATGAACTTGCTTTATGTGCTTGACAGCCTTGCTGGTTTTGTGACTGCCATTTGACAGATGAGAACTGGAGATGAGGAACGAGGAAGTGGGCAGATGAAGATCACATAACAGATAAAGCAAGGAAGGCAGCCTGGGTCCCTACACTAGTTGGGTTCTGATTCTTTCCCAAAGGGTGTAAGGTGTAGATGTGGGGTGACTAACGAGCTCAGCTCAACTTTTAGTCATGGGTGGTCAGAGTCCCAGAAGTGGTTTGATACAGGAGGGTGATATGGGCACTGTAACAATGCATATGTGTTTTATTTTATGCCCCCAGTAGAGGTCTGGGACAGCCCCCCATAATCAAACACATGAACATTTTTGCAGGAAAATATGTGATATTAAAAGTAGAATAAATGGCTGCGTGTTGGTTCAGATCTGGCTTGTACCATAGTCGCCATTTTCAGGGTTTCATTGAATTTGGAATTATGGCTGAGGGTGCACGGCATGTACATGTTTGCAATGTGAAGGATCAATGCATGGGGGGAAGGCTGGCTGAGGGATTAGGTGCTGCACAGTATCAGTGGGTCTGGTCCAGTGGCGGCCGGCGCTGGGTCACACTGGTTTGTGACTGGTGAATGTTACCATTTCAGCAGTGTTGAGAGCTGATTGTCAATTATTAAAACATAAAATTCCACACCAAGCAAATTCAATTTAAAGCAAAGCTAATGAACTCAAACCTCCTTACTTTCTGATGTTTTTGACTGCATTTTGCTGTTGCATTTGCTCTTCATGCCTACGGTATTTGTGTCGTGGAAATGCTACACAATGGAGTGCCACCACACACCTCTGCTCAACTGTACCTTCCGTGCCGTCACATTGGTCACTTGGGATCGACCCTGGTGGCAGCGAGTAAACCATGGAAGTCAGCAAACACGAGAGATCAGAGCTCGATGTATTGCTTTGTGGATTGTCTAAACTCTAGAAAGCAACAGGGAATATTTTTTAACAATGCAGATTAAGCTTAAAAGTGTGTCATGTCCATGGCTGTGATACTGTAATTGCACACAAAAAAAATTAAAATATTTTTCCAGCATTTAGAAAAACTATTATCCAATTCCATACAAGTCACCTTTTTCACGCAAGAGGAGGTGAACCCTGAACAGGCAGCCAAGGAAAGCTTACAGCGAAGCAGAGGCTGCAAGGCTGCTGAGCGTCTGTGTTCTGGGCCTGAGGCTGGGGCAGAGGCATTGTTGCTCTCACACCTGCTCTGCTGAGCCCCAGTCAGAGCTGGAAGTTATAAAAAGACTCTTCTTCCTGTTCCATCCCTCTTGTGCTCTCTACTGCAAAAGTGTACCATGGGGCACACTTTAAAGAAGAAATGCTTCATGGAATTCTGTTGTTCAGCATAGAGCACCTACTGAAGCATGCGTGTGGGACTGAGAGGCGAATTAATAACCCACAGAGCTGGACTTTGTGGATCTCTGTGTTTAATCGTCTGTGAGGAAGGAGTTCAGGGCAACTCGTGGGCTTTGGCCTGGGGATCCGATGGGTTCACTCTGCCACCATTCCA